GTCCAGGAAATCCTCTTGTCCCCTAATATGCGGAAGTGTAACTACTCTTCAGGTTAAGGTCATTTTAAATTCTGATCCTTTACATTCAGGGGTATTAGCTCCCCTTCTGCTTCTCAAGTTTGGAGATGACACCACATTAGAAAGAATAGCTAATACCCCAGAAGACAGGATGAAAATTCAAAATGACCTGAAGAGATTAGAAAGCTGGGCCAAAGCTAACAAGATGAATTTCATCACGGAGAAAAGTAAGGTACTGCACTTAGGGCAGAAAAAAAAATGAAATGCATAGATATAAGATGGAGGACACCTGGCTTAAGGAGACCTATATGTGTGAAAGGGATCTAGGAGTCCTAGTAGACCACAAGTTAAACATGAGTCAACAGTGTGATGCAGCAGCTAAAAAGGCCAATGCGATTCTAGGCTGCATTAATAGTACAGTGTTTAGATCAAGGGAAGTAATAGTGCCCCTCTATTCTGCTTTGATCAGGCCTCACCTGGAATAATACTGTGTCCAGATCTGGGCTGCAAAATTCAAAAAGGATGTGGAGAAACTGGAGCGCGTCCAAAGGAGGGCAACTAAAATAGTGAAGGGTCTGGAAACTATGAATCCCTATGAGGAAGGACTTAGGGAGCTGGGGATGTTTAGCCTGGAGAAGAGAAGGCTGAGAGGTGATACGATAGCCGTGTTTAAATATTTGAAGGGATGCATATTGAGGAGGGAGCAAGCTTGGTTTCTGCTGTTCCAGAGAATAGGACACAGAGCAATGGATTCAGACTTCAGGAAGACAGTACTTTGATTGTGAGCTCCTGCATAGCAGAATGCAGTTGGACTGCATAGCCCTTGTGGTCTCTTCCAATTCTATAATTTTATGAAGGCAGCCAGCAACAAAACCCCATAGACTCAGGGAACTGGGTATGTTTAGCCTGGAGAAGAGATGGTTAAGTGGCGACATGATAGCCCTCTTTAAGTATTTGAAGGGGTGTCCTCATATTGAGGATATGGAGCAAACTTGTTTTCTGCTGCTCCAGAGAATAGGATGCAAGCTCCAGGAAAAGAGATTCCAGCTCAACATTAGGAGGAACTTTTTGATGATAAGAGGTTGTTTGAAAGGGAAAGAGACTCTCTCCTCAGAGTGTAATGGAGTCTCCTTCTTTGGAGGTCTTTAAACAGAGG